TAATAAGAAACAGAGTAAAAACAATATGTTCCCCAACTTCGTTTGGGGAACATAATAAAAAACTGAGTAAAAACAATATGTTCCCCAACTTCGTTTGGGGAACATAACAAGGGTGATGAACCAATCCAGGACTTGACCAAATTTTGGTTACAATTACTAGTGGAACCAACTTCGCGATAATAACCATTAAACTTGAACCTAATTATACTTGGTTACGTTTCATATACCACTTTTTATCCTGCAACTACCCCTTGTATTGACCTAATAAAGGTAACCTAATAAACCAAAGCTTTATCCGGTCACTGCCCTAATAAAGCCTCGTGCATGTATTCCGACGTCCTAAAAGCATTGTGACGTCACGTATACTGCAATGTTTACGCCATGGCGTCATAGGTTCAACTGCAGAGACGTGCCTAAATCCGTCGAAATTAGCTTGTTTTGGACGTTAAAATGTAAGTTTTTGTTGCAGGATAAACAAAATACATGATAACTGTCTTGAAAATATAAGCGATATTTGGGCTCGGGTCGAAAACGTAAGAGGGCTCGGCAAGCCTCGCCCTCTATCACGTTTTCTTACCCTCACCCAAATATCGCTTATATTTCAAGAAAGTAACCATGTATTTTATATATCCTTACCAGAGAAGGCCGTGTACGTTGAGTCGCTCCCCACAGCCGACTGAAGTCTAAACCCAAAACAGCTGGTTTATATAGACAAAAGTTGTTATGATGACGTAAGAGACAATCAGATACCTATTACGTCACAATCAATGCAATCAATAAGTTAGCGGGTTTTAACCAACAAAATTACCTACTAAATTAATAACGTTGTACCCATTTAAAACATACAAAATACACCACTTTGTCATTAAATCATACATGTTAAATTAATAAAGTCATTAAATCAATTATTGTTCATTTCTTTCGTTAACTGTTCATTGACAAATATTTACGGAGTTTATAAACATCGGGTTCAAGTTCCATATATTCCGAACTTGTAAACAAGAGTTAACCCGAATTTCACAGGTACACTTCGTGAAACGTAACAATATATTCCAGCTGGTTTTCCGAAGTTTGCACACTTTTTTTGAAAAGTCATATTGTAATGTAATACTTATAACATGAAATCAATCCAATACCGACTTGAACTTCATATTTAAGACCAGGAGAAACAAGGCACCTGTTATTATATCTTGCAATTCCTTTTGCTTAAGAATGTTACAAAGGAACCCTAACTTTTTCGTACTCTCAACTGCAGAGAGAAAAAAAGGAAGTTATAACTAGATTATAGTCACAGAAGTCTTTGAAATAAATAATTAAGGGCTAGATATTGCAGATTTGACCTTTGTAGACTTCGTTCGTTCTTACTTTTTATTTGCTCAAAGAGAAAGTTCTGAGTAGTCTAGACACGAGTCCTAAGGTTGGAATAAGCGAATGACAAACACAGCTTTATTCCAATTAATATCTTCGTATCGTTAATCTGTACAGTTTCGCTTCAAAAGAAAAAAGTCTATTAAAACTTAGAGGCAATATTTCGTAGAATTTCATTAACCTTCATTACCTAAGCCTATAGCTACAAGCTATAAATATCATATCATTGTCTTGTGTACTGAATTAAAAATAAAATTTACTTTGTCTCAAATTATTTGTTATTATGTAAGTTAGAAATGTATTTAGTACTTCTCTTTTCCATTTCATCAGAATATATGATGCTATTTCACGCATGTTCATATATTTTTTGAAATATTCTATACAATTGAATGTACCATAGAATTATATCAACAGGGTTCTAAGGGTTACCACTTGACTGTGCAGGTGTAAGATATTTGGTGGAATAGTATATTAGATGTGATTCAGAAAATGTAGTGATTTTTGTATCTTTAAGAATTTAAACCGAACAAAATACGTCCTATCAACTCTTAAATCACTAAGTAAGAACTTAAGTTTACGACACATATAGAGAAAATCTAACGATTATTCCGTTATCTCCATCTCTCCATTATGAGATACTGGTTTGGTTTCGACTGCGGGCGAGGTCGCCATTTCGGATGTTGGATCAAATTTAGATTTTTATTAGCTTTTTGTTGATAACTGTTTTTATTGTAATCTGTTTAAAGTGTTCATTTTCAGAGTGTTAATGAAGTGGATCAAATCTGAAGTTACCACTCCGTTTTTTATTATGATTTGTGGATTTGTATAAAAGAGATCCCATGATTCAGGAAAAATTCGTGTGTTAATTCATCATCACTTTACAAAATCCTTTCATTTTGGCTTATCCTCTGATCTTCTTTATTCTTCATTGCTTCATCAATCTGACGATCAATCGTTTTCAAGGAATAATTTTCTGTCCGAAATATTAAATGATTTACAAACTTAGATTGGAAAATTCTTTGAAAGGTGCCGCGGTGAAAATTGAAATTACAAAAAAAAGTTTTCCTATTCCCCAAAGTTTTTATGTATTTATTTTTTTAGAGGCATTTCTATTTTACCTGACACCCATGTTTTATATAACCGAGCATTTGATGCATATATACCACGCGGCTGTTCCCATCAGATAATAGGAAAGTTCAAATATTCTTTACGTCTCTAATTAATATTTTGCGTTAATATACTTCTGTATCAAGTAACAGCTAGAGTCACCTTGTCTGTTTTAATTAGAGGATTCGTAACAAAGTTGTCAAGATGATTATCTCATGAAACAGGCGTTTGATTCAGCTTTCATCTAAAAAAGAAGAAGAAAAAACTTAAAGAAGCTCAAAATAACCCTGCATATGTCAAAATCCACAATTTCTGCTCCAATTATCGAATTCTTCTTAGGGCTTCAAGCAGCGAATTATCAGTCAATGAGGTTACTATGAAAACATATCCACACACGAAGAATATGAAGTTTCACAAAAGCCATCGAACCGTCATTTTGAAAAGGAAGTGATGCTAAAGGTGAAATCAATTTCCTTCAAGAAAATGGCAAGAATTTAGGGAGAACCTCAAAATAATTTATCATGAAAAGATGTCATTCTACACTGCCCGTACATACAGTATACCCTGTGAGTATTTCTCTTATTTTGTAAATTTTAGAGTTACCTGGTTGCATTAACACAAAATTTTCAATTGATTCAAATATTTACAAAATGACAGTTCGCTACATACTGTAACTAAATTATCATTAGGATTCTGAGCAGTCGAAAAGACTTATTTTGTGTTATTGATACCCTTTATGTAATTCTCTGAAACAAAACCATGTGTAGCTTATTAAACCTCCCTAAAATGTGTAGGGAACAAATGATATTAAACAGTGTTGATTAATAAAAATAAGAATAAACGGGTTCTGCAAAATAAATTCGTGTATTTTAAGGCGCATATTTACTATCAACCGTAGGAGGAAGATTGTCTTTTGTAAACGGGTTTGTACATATTGTGGACAGGACCCCCACTCTTCCCCCTTCCTCCTCTTACCCCCCGACAATCAACCCCGGGACTTGTTGGCATTTTTTCCCCCACAGATTATTTCTTATTGTACTTATTATTCATACCATAAGAAAAATCGGGACCCCCCCCCCACCCCCGCACCACCACCACCAAAATAATCGTAATGTTGTGGGTGTGTTTTTGTTTGAAACTTATTTTGGGGTATACATAATAACTAAGAACATGTGTATATTAAATATAATCTTTGGGATAAAGGTCCATAAATCCACAGGGATGAATATCGGGGGGAATTTATCCATTGATTGCAGGTTAAAGCGAGATAACTCCCACAAATTCACCATGATATCCAATCGAAATCAAGGACTCTTTGTTAGAGTTATCTTTCTTTGTCTGTATAATATTGTGGATGCCCAGTTTGTCCCAAAAATCCATGGTGTAAGTACGTTAACACTTTTTTCACAAAAAGTTATTCTTTTTGGAAGCTTTATCACATCAATCCATTTTGAATTATCAAGTTATAGAGAATTTTTTTTCACTAAGAGATGGGGGATATAAACAGATGTTCCTATTTCGGGGAGAAGCGGGACTTTACTTCATATAAGGCATTCCTAAGAATTCTTACGAAGAGTTGTTTCCTAAGGTGACCATTTTCATTCTGGCTAATTTCCTAAAGGACTTTGAAAAGTGAATTGGGAGGTAAAAAGCTGAAATTATACCGAGCATCAAAATTAAGCCACGATGTGCAGAATACTAGTATATGAATATATGTTTGTTGACTATATTAAGGGTAAAAACTTCGAAATAGCAGATTGAAGATATAAAATTGGAAAAATAATTTTAAATTCATATGTATTTTTTGAGAAGCGATATACGATATACCCGTTCTTTGTAGTTAGGACAGGACATGGAAGTGACAAATATCTCATTTGTACCCTCATTTTCCAGAAAAATATTAATGCTAGGAAAAATAGATAAAGAATTTGATAATATGATCGTAGGATTTGTGGTGCCCCTAACAAAGGACAATTTGATAAAGATCAATGACTTAATGATCCCAGGGTCTGGTATTAGCTCAACGAGAGATTTAAGCATAATATTCTGTGTTAAAATTTAATTCATTTCTTTGATTTATAATATTTGCATCACAACAATGAACATTGATATGAAAACTTTGATTTTGCTCCTGATTCCCCCTTTTTTTACCGTACAGTTATCTGAGAGGGGGGGGGGGGCGTTATTTACCTGGAGATCCCCAATATTCAAGATATCAAACATCTATATAAAGTTATACACGTTTCAATACACAGGAAGAATTAGTCTGTGTTTGGTAATCAGGGTCAACATATTTCGTGTCTAATTTTGAGTAAAAATACTTTAATATTTTGATTATTTCAATATAAAATTTATTTGTATGCTAAACATATTCATCGTAATCTTTTGAAGGGAAAAAAAATATAGTTTTATAAACCCTTTCTTGTAATATTAAAGAAAAGATTAATGTTTTGTGGATATGTTTTGTGATTACTTTGAAATAAATCAAAGCTGAATAAAGAAGTTGTAAATAACACAAAGGCATATTTAACGATTATAAAAACTTATTTATTCCAGTAATAAACAAGTTATAGCAGAACATTCAGCAAAATTCGGTGTTTGGAATTGAGATGATTCTCTTGAGGTTTATCTATATTTGTCTGGCAGTCCTTTGGGTCGGTATTTGTTCGGGTCTCCACCTTTTCGGCCCCATTCGTTGGCCGCTTGGTCGGCAGCCGTGTCCTCTGCTCCTTGACCACTCAATCCGCTTTGGTAATTTTCCCTGAAATCACTTATCATTAGGAAAAAAACGCATTAGAAATGACAGATTAATGAATTATTGGGATACTGTTTTATCAAGCTGCATATCATTTTGCCTTACCTGATGACCTTTGCTGCCCAGCGACCGCCGGGTCCTCTTTTGGCGGCGTCATAGTTACCACGTGCATGGAAGTACTTGTCTGAATTCTTCCAGTTTGCTTCCTTCATGTCACTAAAATGATACAATACGTTACCAGTGTGATGTTAGAAAGCATTACATTCGTGTCTTTTCTTTTCCCTTTTTTTAAAATAAATATGTAAATCAAGATCACTAAACTGTTCATTGGTCTATCAAACGAAACTTGACAAGAGGTATTTTATAACTGCCCTAATACATTTAACTTTGAATTTCAAGTATATATATTTTACTTTTTCGATTCTTACATGCATTTTTATGCCCCCGAAATTGAAGATTTGGTTTATATTTTTTGCCCTGTGCGTCCTACTGTCTGTTTGTCTGTATATCTGTTTCTTTTGACCTTGTAGTTTGACCCGGTTTTACAAACTTAAAACTTTTTAACCTAGCTACTTAACTTTAACCGTGGCCATAGCGTTTGAACAATTGGTGCTAGGGCTTTCATACTTTAAATGTGTATTCATTGAGACAAGACCTTTCAATGGTTAAAATATTTTGACCTTGACCTTAGAGTTTGACCTACTTTAAAAAAATACCCTTGGCGATGACTTTTAAAGAGTTA